GTTAGGTAGGGTTGGTTAGGTTTGGTTATATATCTACGTTCATTTTTACTCCAATAAAAAAAATTGACCTCATACATAATGAAATGGGTAGCTTTATCATTTCATAAGAAAAAAATTAGAGAAAATATATAATTCAGGAAAACTTGGCTTATTAGGCAAATCAGGCCTTGCATAGTAGGCCGAGAAGTGCGTTCTGGCTACTAGGTACGACATATATATATATATATATATATATATATATATATATATATATATATATATATATATATATATATATATATATATATATATATATATATATATATATATATATATATATATATATGTCGTACCTAGTAGCCAGAACGCACTTCTCAGCCTACTATGCAAGGCCCAATTTGCCTAATAAGCCAAGTTTTCTTGAATTAATTGTTTTTCGACTACCTAACCTACCTAACCTAACCTAACTTTTTTGGCTACCTAACCTAACCTATAAAGATAGGTTAGGTTAGGTAGCCAAGATAGGTTAGGTTAGGTAGGGTTGGTTAGGTTCGGTCATATATCTACGTTAATTTTAACTCCAATAAAAAAAAATTGACCTCATACATATTGAAATGGGTAGCTTTATCATTTCCTAAGAAAAAAATTAGAGAAAATATATTAATTCAGGAAAACTTGGCTTATTAGGCAAATCAAGCCTAGCATAGTAGGCTGAGAAGTGCTTTCTTACTACTAGGTACGACATATATATATATATATATATATATATATATATATATATATGTCGTACCTAGTAGCCAGAACTCACTGCTCAGCCTACTATGCAAGGCCCGATTTGCCTAATAAGCCAAGTTTTCATGAATTAATTGTTTTTCGACTACCTAACCTACCTAACCTAACCTAACCTAACTTTTTTGGCTACCTAACCTAACCTAACCTATAAAGATAGGTTAGGTTAGGTTAGGTAGGGTTGGTTTGGTTCGGTCATATATCTACGTTAATTTTAATTCCAATAAAAAAAAATTGACCTCATACATAATGAAATGGGTAGCTTTATCATTTCATAAGAAAACAAATTGAGAAAATAAATTAATTCAGGAAAACTTGGCTTATTAGGCAAATCGGGCCTTGCATAGTAGGCTGAGAAGTGCGTTCTGGCTACTAGGTACGACATATATACATATATATATATATATATATATATATATATATATATATATATATATATATATATATATATATATATACATATATATATATATATATATATATATATTATATATATATATATATATATATACATATATATATATATATATATATATATATATATATATATATATATATATATATATATAGTAGCCAGAACGCACTTCTCGGCCTACTATGCAAGGCCCGATTTACCTAATAAGCCAAGTTTTCCTGAATTAATATTTTTTCTCAAATTTTTGCCTTATGAAAAGATAAAGCTACCCATTTCATTATGTACGAGGTCAATTTTTTTTTATTGGAGTTAAAATTAACGTAGGTGTATGACAGAACCTAACCAACCCTACCTAACCTAACCTAACCTATCTTTATAGGTTAGGTTAGGTAGCCGAAAAAGTTAGGGTAGGTAGTCGAAAAAACAATTAATTCATGAAAACTTGGCTTATTAGGCAAATCGGGCCTTGCATTATAGGCAGAGAAGTGCGTTCTGGCTACTAGGTACGACATATATATATATATATATATATATATATATATATATATATATATATATATATATATATATATATATATATATATATATATATATATATATATATGTGTGTGTGTGTGTGTGTGAGTGTGTGTGTATATCACAAAAATAAACACTTGATTAAAAATGTGACAGTGTCAGACCACGGAGGAAAATTGAAACAGGAATTTCCTTAAGTACTTTCGTATATTAATATATCTTCAGAAGGAGTGATTTTACAGATCGAGTACTGGACATAAATAGGCAGCAACCACACACAGACCAACACATAGATAATTATAGCATAAAATAGTAAATATATACAATGAATTAGTGAGACAAATGTGAAAAAGTCAATTTTTTCTTCAATGTATCTAAGAGCTCTTCGAGTTGTGAGTCCAGAACTCTTAGACGAAAAGTTTAAGAATATTGATTCGATTGGTCTCAAGCTTTGTTACCCACTGAGTTTTTTGGAAGTTTGCCGTAGCAAAGCACGTGGTACATATTATAATAATATATGCAGTGAAAGAATTCGCCCAAAGAATGTGTTATGTTTACCATATTTCTCTGGGTTTGAGAATATTGTCAAGGACTTGAAACTTTTTAATATACATGTATTGTTTAGCTACGAAAATACTGTTGGTAAGCTATTAGTTAGGAACAGCCCTCGTAGTGATAATTGTGTCATTTATAAAATACCTTGTAAAGATTGTAATAAGTTCTATGTTAGGCAAACATCTAAAGATTTGAAATGTAGAATTTCGCAACGTAAATACTCTGTAAGACATGGCCAATTGTCTAATCCTTTGTTTGTTCATCTGTCAGAAGATTCTCACCAAATTGATTGGGAGATGGCTTCTTCAATAACAAATCGTAAAAGCACCTATAACAGAAACATAATTGAATCTGCTTTGATACAGATCAGAAAAGAAAGTAATTTGAACATTTGCAGTGGTCTATATAACTTAGATCCATTTTTAATAGATCAATTAAAGGGCGAATTAAGTAGGATCATTGGAACACATTTGTCTCACTAATTCATTGTATATATTTACTATTTTATGCTATAATTTTCTGTGTTGGCCTGTGTGTGGTTGCTGCATCAGATGAGCCAATGGGCTGCATCAGATGGGCCAATAGGCTGTCTGCAGTGTCCACGTATTGTACCTCACCTCACTCCACCATTCTCTCCTGCCTATTATGTCCAGTACTCGATCTGTAAAATCATTCCTTCTGAAGATGTATTAATATACGAAAGTACTTAAGGAAATTCCTGTTTCATTTTTCCTCCGTGGTCTGACATTGTCATATATATATATATATATATATATATAGATATATATATATATATATATATATATATATATATATATATATATATATATTTATATATATATATATATATATATATATATATATATATATATATATATATATATATATATATATATATATATATATATATGTCGTACCTAGTAGCCAGAATGCACTTCTCAGCCTACTATGCAACGCCCGATTTGCCTAATAAGCCAAGTTTTCCTGAATTAATATATTTTCTCTAATTTTTTTCTTATGAAATGATAAAGCTACCCATTTCATTATGTATGAAGTCAATTTTTTTGTATTGGAGTTAAAATTAATGTAGATATATGACCGAACCTAACCAACCCTACCTAACCTATCTTGAGGTTATCTTGAGATGATTTCGGGGCTTTTAGTGTCCCCGCGGCCCGGTCCTCGACCAGGCCTCCACCCCCAGGAAGCAGCCCGTGACAGCTGGCTAACACCCAGGTACCTATTTTACTGCTAGGTAACAGGGGCATAGGGTGAACGAAACTCTGCCCATTGTTTCTCGCCGACGCCTGGGATCGAACCCAGGACCACAGGATCACAAGTCCCGCGTGCTGTCCGCTCGGCCGACCGGCTCCCTATCCTAACCTAACCTATCTTTATAGGTAAGGTTAGGTTAGGTAGTCGAAAAAACAGCATTTCATGAAAACTTGCTTATTAGGCAAATCGGGCCTTGCATAGTAGGCTGAGAAGTGCGTTCTGGCTACTAGGTACGACATATATATATATTTATATATATGTCGTACCTAGTAGCCAGAACGCACTTTTCAGCCTACTATGCAAGGCCCGATTTGCCTAATAAGCCAAGTTTTCCTGAATTAATATATTTTCTCTAATTTTTTTCTTATGAAATGATAAAGCTACGCATTTCATTATATATGAGATCAACTTTTTTAATTGGAGTTAAAATTAACGTAGATATATGACCAAACCTAACCAACCCTCCCTAACCTAACCTAACCTTTCTTTATAGGTTAGGTTAGGTTAGGTAGCAGAAAAAGTTAGGTTAGGTTAGGTTAGGTAGGTTAGGTAGTCGAAAAACAATTAATTCATGAAAAGTTGGCTTTTTAGGCAAATCGGGCCATGCATAGTAGGCTGAGAAGTGCGTTCTGGCTACTAGGTACGACATATACATATATATATATATATAGAATATATATATATATATATATATATATATATATATATATATATATATATATACATATACATATATATATATTCATATATATATATATATATATATATATATGTCGTACCTAGTAGCCAGAACTCACTTCTCAGCCTACTATTCAAGGCCCGATTTGCCTAATAAGCCAAGTTTCCTGAATTAATATATTTACTATAATTTTTTTCTTATGAAATGATAAAGCAACCCTTTTCTCTATGTATGAGGTCAATTTTTTTAATTGGAGTTAAAATTAACGTAGATATATGACCGAACCTAACCAACCCTACCTAACCTAACCTAACCTATATTTATAGGTAAGGTTCGGTTAGGTAGCCAAAAAAAGCTAGGTTAGGTTAGGTTAGGTAGGTTAGGTAGACGAAAAAACATAATTCATGAAAACTTGGCTTATTAGGCAAATCGGGCCTTGAATAGTAGGCTGAGAAGTGCGTTCTGGCTATTAGGTACGACATATATATATATATATATGTATATATATATATATATATATATATATATATATATATATATATAATATATATATATCTATATATATATATATATATATATAAAATATTGCGATAAATAGTCGCTGATCTATTAAATAGAAGATATCCACATTTGAAAAATTAGGAGAACACCTTAGCGCGGAAAAGCGAACCCTCTTCGGACTGTTAACAACGGTAGATTGTTAACGGCCACAAAAGGATTGAAAGAGCTAAGGTATATTTATATATATGGTTGAATTTATAAAGATGTTTTACAATCTCACATATTACAGACCTGTGTCACTGGACCATAACACGTCGCCTTTCCAGGCGATGTTGTATATAGTGTTGGGTTCATCAAAACATTCTATGGGGAAAGGCGTCCAGCACACCGTTGCCTCAGTACCTCCTCCCCCGATGACACAAGAGACAGAGCTTGGCGGAACTGTGGTGGGAGACAACTGTCAGTACATGACTCTGCCTGAAGCAAAGTATCATTAACAAGAAAATAAGTAATATTGACGAGACTGAAACAAATCATCCAACTCACCCACAAGGAATGAAAGTGAGAGTGTGGGTTAACGTCTTGAAAGAACCGATACACCGCCACTTTAAATTTCTTTCAAGTATCTGGGTTGGGGAACGTGGTATCATCACGTACAGAAGCACCTGTTTATTAGAAGCCCTAAAAGTCCACATTTACTTCATGGGGATAAAATAGTTGAGAGTCAAATAATAAATATAGGTCGCTTTATTAATACAATGGATATCACCCTATTATCCAATAATGATAGCATCTTACATACAGAGATCACACTAACGTGATGCATCAAATTTTGTTCATGATAGCATCTTTCTATGCTGTGGATGGACTACTCAAAATATGGACCTTTATTCCCTACAAAAATATTTCTGTATTTTTGGAATATTAAATATCAAACGTAAAATGACAAGAAGTATACCATTTAGGCCGAAAATACACAATCCGTGGATCAAATTTAGTACATATATGCAATAGGCCAATGAAAGGTCTATGGTTGGTGCCTTTTACACAATTACCATTACAGAATGAGGAAATATAGTTGGTGTAGCGGCCGTGCTGGGAACACACCACCCACGGTCACTATACACTCACATTCTCATTACTTAGCTTTGTAGACTATATATATATATATATATATATATATATATATATATATATATATATATATATATATATATATATATATATCTAACACCGAAAAAGTTTTCTCACGAATCTTCTCGTACATTTCTTTTCACTGTTGGAGGTAATTCAAAAATCAATTCTCCAAAATTCATTTTTATTTCTAGTCTGACGCGACACTTGAGCGCGTTTCGTAAAACTTATTACATTTTCAAAGACTTTAGTTTACACATACACAACTGAATAGAACTTACACATCTCCGATTTGTTTATATCTACATTTCAGTGAGAAGGATGGGGTGAGGTGGTATTAATAGGGTGGTATTAATTCATCAACACAAGACAGAACACGAAACAATGGGTATTGAATGGAAATGATTGTAGAAAGCCTATTGGTCCATATTTCTTGATGCTTCTATATTGGAGCGGAGTCTTGAGGTGGGTAGAATATAGTTGTGCATTAATTGGCTGTTGATTGCTGGTGTTGACTTTTTAATGTGTAGTGCCTCGCAAACGTCAAGCCGTCTGCTATCGCTGTATCTATCGATGATTTCTGTGTTGTTTACTAGGATTTCTCTGGCGATGGTTTGGTTGTGGGAAGAGATTATATGTTCCTTAATGGAGCCCTGTTGCTCCACCTGCCTTACCCTACAGAGTTCTTCATTGAAGAACTCTGTAGGGTAAGGCAGGTCCTAGTCAACAACTGCTTCTCCAATGGTTTCGTTGAAGACATCATAAGAAGGAAAGTGAAACGCCATGCAACCTCTGAAGAGACAACTAACATAACACCTATACCCCCTATTAGACTATTTTACAGGAACTTCTTTTCCGCAGCTCATAAAACGGAGGAAAGGGTCCTGAAAGATATTAATAGAAACGTTATCCCTACAGACAAAAATCAGAGGATAAAACTGACGATTTACTATAAAACCAGAAAAACGGCCAGCCTACTCATGAGAAACTCTTCAGACACAAAGCAGAACGCTTTAAAAGAGACCAACGTCGTCTATGCCTTCAAATGCCCTCTTGGGGACTGTAAGCTCCAAAAAACCCAGCATATAAGCAAGACAACATCTCTTTCTAGGTGTTTAACGATGCATAAGCAACAGGGCTCCATTAAGGAACATATAATCTCTTCCCACAACCAAACCATCGCCAGAGAAATCCTAGTAAACAACACAGAAATCATCGATAGATACAGCGATAGCAGACGGCTTGACGTTTGCGAGGCACTACACATTAAAAAGTCAACACCAGCAATCAACAGCCAATTAATGCACAACTATATTCTACCCACCTCAAGACTCCGCTCCAATATAGAAGCATCAAGAAATATGGACCAATAGGCTTTCTACAATCACTTCCATTCAATACCCATTGTTTCGTGTTCTGTCTTGTGTTGATGAATTTAATACCCTATTAATACCACCTCACCCCATCCACCTCACTCAAATGTAGATATAAACAAATCGGAGATGTGTAAGTTCTATTCAGTTGTGTATGTGTAAACTAAAGTCTTTGAAAATGTAATAAGTTTTACGAAACGCGCTCAAGTGTCGCGTCAGACTAGAAATAAAAATGAATTTTGGAGAATTGATTTTTGAATTACCACCAACAGTGAAAAGGAATGTACGAAAGATTGAGAAAATTCGTGTTAGAATTATTAATCTTACTTTTTCGGTCATATTTAATAATATATATATATATATATATATATATATATATATATATATATATATATATATATATATATATATATATATACAATATATATATATATATATATATATATATATATATAAAATATATATATAATATATATATATAATATATATTATATATAATATATAATATATATATATATATATATATATATATATATATATATATATATATATATATATATATATATATATATATATATATATATATATATATGTATATATGCTATTAAATATGACCGAAAAAGTAAGATTAATAATTCTAACACAAATTTTCTCAATATTTCTTATGGTTCTTTTCACTGTTGATGGTAATTGAAAAATCAGTTCTCCAAAATTAATTTTTATTTCTAGTCTGACGCGACACTTGAACGCGTTTCGTAATAACTTATTACATTTTCAAAGACTTTAGTTTCCACACACATAACTATAACCTGCAAACATTAAACAGATTTCTTACTATGCTATAATTCAAACAACATTTCATTTTGTATACCTGCATTTGGGTGAGGTGATATGTTCCAACAGTTTTGGATGAGGTGAAAACAAACGTTCAACACAAGATAGAACACGAAATATTGGGTAATATTGGGTAAAGTTAAAGGGGAAGAATGGAAGTAAATGCAAAGGGCCTATTGGCCCATATTTCTTGATGCTTCTATATTGGTGCGGAGTCTTGAAGTTGGTAGAATATAGTTGTGCAGTAATTGGCTGTTGATTGCTGGTGTTGACTTCTTAATGTGTAGTGCCTCGCAGATATCAAGTCGCCTGCTATCACTGTATCTATCGATGATTTCCGTGTTTTTTGTTAAGACTTCTCTGGTGATGGTCTGGTTGTGGATAGAGATTATATGTTCCTTATGGAGCCCTGTTGCTTATGCATCGTTAATCGCCTGGAAAAAGTTGTTGTTGTCTTGCCTATATACTAAGTTCTTTGAGGCTTACTATCCATTCCCCATGTGGGCATTTGAAGGCATAGACGACATTGGTCTCTTTCAAAGCGATCTGCTTTGTGTCTGGAGAGTTTCTCATGAGTAGGTTGGCAGTTTTCTTGGTTTTATAGTAAATCGTCAATTGTATCTTCTGATTTTTGTCTGTAGGGATAACGTTTCTATTAACAATATCTTTTAGGACCCTTTCCTCCGTTTTATGAGCTGTGGAAAAGAAGTTCCTGTAAAATAGTCTAATAGGGAGTACAGATTTTATGTTAGTTGTCTCTTCAGAGGTTGCATGGCGTTTCACCTTCCTTCTTTTGATGTCTTCAACGAAACCATTGGAGAAGCCGTTGTTGACTAGGACCTGCCTTACCCTACAGAGTTCTTCATCGACTTGCTTCCATCCTGAGCTGTGGCTGAGAGCACAGTCGACATAAGCGTTAACAATACTCGTCTTGTACCTGTCTGGGCAGTCACTGTTGGCATTGAGGCACATTCCTATGTTTGTTTCCTTAGTGTAGACTGTAGTGTGGAAACCTCCGCTCCTTTCCATGACTGTTTCATCTAGAAAGGGCAGCTTCCCATCCTTCTCCATCTCGTAAGTGAAACACAACACAGAATTCCGCTCAAATGCCTTCATCAGCTCCTGCAGATGTCTGACATCAGGTACCTGTGTAAAAATGTCATCAACATACATGCAGTATATGGCCGGTTTCAAGTTCATGTCGACTAAGATTTTTTGTTCGATGGTACCCATGTAGAAGTTCGCAAACAGGACACCTAGGGGAGAACCCATGGCGACCCCATCTACTTGCTTATACAAGTGCCTATCCGGGCTCAAGAAGGGTACCTCTTTAGTACAAGCTTGTAGTAGTTTCCGTAGAATGTTTTCTGGTATGTCAAGAGGAGTACAAGCTTGATCACGATACACTCTGTCCGCTATCATCCCGATTGTTTCATCCACAGGTACGTTGGTAAACAGTGATTCTACGTCCAACGAGGCTCTTATCCCTGTGGCCTGTGTTCCCCGCAGTAAGTCAACAAGTTCATTTGCAGACTTCAGGCTAAAGGCGCAAGGGACATAAGGAGTCAGCAAGCCGTTGAGTCGCTTCGCCAGTCTGTACGTAGGTGTGGGTATCTGGCTGACGATTGGCCGAAGTGGGTTTCCAAGCTTGTGTGTCTTGACATTTCCATATGCGTATTCAGGTTTGTTTTCCTCAAATATCTTTGGCTGGTGGAGTCCGGATTTCTTGGCGTTCACAGTTTCGAATATATATATATATATATATATATATATATATATATATATATATATATATATATATATATATATATATATATATATATATATATATATATGCGAAAAAAGCCTGAATGGTCCCCAGGACTATATGCGAATGAAATATATATATATATATATATATATATATATATATATATATATATATATATATATATATATATATATATATATATATATATATATATATATATATATATATATATATGTCGTACCTAGTAGCCAGAACGCACTTCTCAGCCTAGTATGCAAGGCCCGATTTGCCTAATAAGCCAAGTTTTCATGAATTAATTGTTTTTCGGCTACCTTACCTACCTAACCTAA